TCTATGTCACATGTCAGCTTCATGTGGGAGGAAAGACCAAAGTGATGAAGGTCTCCGACATTTACCACTTTGGTGAAACCTATGAGCACGATTTGTGCTGACAATCCAAGAAACATAATTTGGGCGAACTGGGACTTGAACACATGATCATTGGTTTCAGGTGTGCCCAAGGGACGCAGCACTTTAGACGACTTGGCTACCTGTGCCCTGTTGTGCCATGGTAGAAAAGCAGGTGTAAACCAAGCGTTGACTTAGCCTGTAGCCCCTACCCTGTGAAAACTTATTGTTCACATACGCAGCACATTATTTAATACAAACATACCATAAGATATAATTTCAGAGACAAAGTGTTAGTTTAATGGTATTCCTACACATAGAATACAATATAATTTGCATGTAATTAATTAGAATCTAGTCTGGTAACTAGAACTGTTTTCTTGTTCTTGAAAAGTACCGATTCTATCAAGAAGAATGTTTTCAAAAACAATTGTGCAGCTTAAACAGTTAAAAGTAATTTATGTCATAATTTCAAACACTGATTTTTATTCCAAATTTACTGTATTTACAATACAGAAACATACCCATGCTAATAATCTCTATATATTACACTGCTACTCTTGCTTTATCCCTGTGTTACCATGGTTACGGGTTTTAGATGCGAAAGGAACAATCGTAGTGTTCTCACTTATCACAACAACCATAAAACAAGTCACTTACTTATAAAAAGACAACTTTTCTTCAAAACCAAGCTATTATCTGGGTATTTACAATGTCTATGTGACACCACACCTGTTATTATAGCACATATAATCGTTATAAACATGGCCATCCGAAAATGCATGATGTCTGAAAACTTATGAGCCGACGATATATATTTAAAATTTAAATAATCTTAAGTGAAGCAGGTTGGTATAGTAGCGGTTATTTCTTTACATTTGGAATAGTCTGAACAGTTGCATTTAACCAGTTATTGATCACTATATACAGGCATCCCGCGATCTTGTCATTTCAATCGAGAAAAATATATATTGACATACCATAGACAAATAACATCAACTTATTACGCGTCAAAGTATGGCATTTATGAATTACTGATGCATTACGTAACAACAATGATTCAAGGCATTAATGGCAGTAATTTGATCGTGGAAAAGATACTGGAAAAGAGCTAAAACAATTAGCCACAAATACACTGAACAATTGAAGCAATCTAGACTTGCTTGGGGGCCTTCAGTTTTGTATTAGGGTCTGTATGAGAGCCTAACACAGGGCATGTTTAATGTCCAGATGAGACACTTATCAAAAGAAAGTTTGGGTAGGTAGCCATCAATGAACTGCTTCACATAAGCCATGTTCACTTTCTTTCATTACACACTCATTGTTTTAATGCTTTCCGTGGTCAAAATATCACATCAACATACCAACGTTTTGTCTTATCATCCTCCAGTGTTCACATTAAACAATGGCTGGCAACCATCATTACTTCATCATGATTCATGGCCATATGAAACTGCCTAACAATGTGTCGAGGGACTATTGTCTTGAACAGGGCTAATGATTCACTGAGTGAGTGAGTGAGTATGGTTTTACGCCGCTTTTAGCAATATTCCAGCAATATCACGGCGGGGGACACCAGAAATGGGCTTCACACATTGTACCCATGTCAGGAATCGAGCCCGGGTCTTCAGCGTGACGAGCGAACACTTTAACCACTACGCTACCCGACCGCCCTAATGATTCACTGAAGTATCAATGCACCACCATATTTCACAAAATATGTTTGCAATGATTTTGTTTGTTTGTTTGTTGTTTAACGCCGTACTCAGCAATATTCCAGCAATATGATGGTAGTCTGTAAATAAGCGAGTCTGGACCACACGCAATTGAGATACGATGACATACATCAACCAAGTCAGCGAGCCTGACCACCCGATACTGTTAGTCACTTCTTTTGACAAGCATAGTCACCTTTACGGGAAGCATTGAGGTGAATGTTGTCACATCTATTTTCAGACATTTAACTTGGAATGGGGCCGATATCAACATTGATGAAACGACTATGTCAGGTAATAAAATAACATTAGCATACATTTCATTTTCCTTACAAATGTGAGAGGTACTTCCTGCATCTGTTCAAAATCATAACTTATTGACGTCAGTTGTAACAGAATCAATACAACATTTTACTTGCCATTGGCTAAAATACTCTTATATTGTATGTAGGACTAACTGGTTTAAGAGTATAATGCACATGCAAACTAAATGGTGAGTGAGGCAACATGAAACAGGGTTTAACGTTGCATTAAGGTCTAGTGCAATTCGATAGTGATGTGTGTGTGTGTGTGTGTGTGTGTGTGTGTGCATGCGTGAGTGAGTGAGTATGATTTTACGCTGCTTTTAGCAATATTTCAGCAATATCACGGCTGGGGGAAACCAGAAATGGGATTTACACATTGTAACCATGCCTGGAATCGAACCCGGGTCTTCGGTGTGATGAGTGAGCGAGTGGGTATGGTTTTACGCTGCTTTTAGCAATATTCCAGCAATATCACGATGGGGGGCACACACCAGAAATGGGGTTTTTGGACCCGTGTCGGGAATCGAACACAGGTCTGCAGCGTGATGAGTGAGTCAGTATGGTTTTACGCCGCTTTTAGCAATATTCCAGCAATATCACGGCGGGGGACACCAGGAATGGACTTCACACATTGTAACCCCATTTGAGAATCAAACCTGGGTCTCGGCATGACGAGCTAACACTTAAACCACCAGGCTACCCCACGGCCCCTGTACTACTCATGACTTGCCTTGGTTTTATAGTGCTAACCCACTGAAAATCAGTCTATTGACTCTGAGCCAAGCAAGGTAACAAGTACGTCTTTTGGTATGACAGAGCTGGGGATAAAACCACAACCTTCCGCACTCTAGGCAGCTCTATTAGCTAGACCTCGGACGCGGTCGAAATGGTGGGGATGTCCAAGCTGATTCTCTTCTTTCTTTGGTTGCCAAAACACAGAAAGTGAAATCAAAAGTTATGTCCAAAGTATGTGTTTCATGTTTTTTTATATTGCGATTAGTGTTTTGAAATCAGGACTTGTGAAATGTTGCCTGGATTGGTTATTTTATGTACTGTCAGTCTGTCAATAAATTACCAGAAACACTGAAATAGCAAATTTTGCAATCCACTTAAACCGGCCACCTACAACATGTACAAATACTTACACCTGCAAATGGAATATTTGTTCATATTGTCTATCTTGTATCATTATCATAACAACGGACATGGATAGACATGTAGACATGTATTTGTTTCCAAGTGTGATATGGGGCACTCACTTTTAGATGTTCAGGTGTGCCCTCTGGTATTCAAGTTTGCCAAAAAGAAAACGTCTGATTCAGCTTCAAAAACCTGTTACTCATGTCACAATGATGTAATTTATAACGTTAGAAAGCGCTTTTCCTTTTCAATGAGACTGATAATACCATTTTCAATTTCTGAATCCTCAGGTTTATTTCATGAATCCTGTGCACTAAGCATGTTTTTCGGGTTTATTCATGTGAAACTACATTTATCACTAGCATGATTTTAGAAACAAGTCGGGTTTTTTCTTTAAAAATAAATGATTACTATTAAAATATAAGGTGTACCCTTCAGGCATCAGGAACTTTTTATAAATCTGCCATTATGATTTTAACTATGACACGACCACGCCAATACAAGAAGGTGCATCATTTAATCCTGTAGCCTACTTAGTGCAATGATTTATGTGTAGTATGAGGTTCTGTTCACTGGGGTCACTGGAGTCTATTATCCCGTAACACATGGCATGGGTGCAATACTGGTATTTCTATGTCTTCCATCACTCTAGGAAGCTCCGCTATATGGCTGAAATAATACTGATGCGACGTTTTCTAACTCACTCACTCTAGCAAGCAACAAAACTAGTTGCAATATCCACTTCACATAAATCTGGCAAATATCAAACAGTAACCATCTGGCTCACTTATCAATGTTAACACACATGGTATCAATATGGCAACACTAGTACTATAAATATAGATGTAATATGAATACAAACACAAATCTACCAACTGTCATCATGGTCATAGCTACTTGCAATTGACTGAAAGCACATTTGCACATCTATTTTGACACAACTTTCACACAACATACCAAGCATGCTTAACTTATGCTACTGAAAAATGTGAATTTGCAATTAAGAGGTTTACCTACTATCTCTGAAAGAAAATATGCTCGAAGGAGTTGGTGCAAAAAGAGAGCTAGCTCCTAAATCTTGTAAACATACAAAACTTCTATTCCAAACATTTTCAAGCTGGAGCCAGTAACTTTTTGTTGCATCAACAATTTGTATTTTTTCAACCTCAATAAGAATTTACTGTATTAAGTAACAGTTGCAACTTGCTACATCATACACATTCCACCAAACTGGCTCTGACACACCCCCTTGTTAGACTTGAAAGTCACACAACCATCAACCATCAACATGATCAATGCAAACACTTATTTTAAAAATAATTTTAATATATTTAACATACTTAAATAGATTGTCAGTGAAATTGAATTTCATGTATATTGATATCTATGAAATACATGTACATTACAAATCCACAACTACAACAAATGTCACTTCCTATTTCATCTGACAGCTAAGCTTGACATTTCTGACAGTTCTGAGTGGTGTGATTACTGTGCAGAACATATATTCCATAATTTCGATGTGACATGCCATTATGGTGATGCTAAACAAGAAGAAGGCAGTGAAAAGTAGTCAGTGTTTTGCCGTTGCTACCACCAGTTCTATCTGCTTGTATGTGCAATACATGGCCTCGTGAGGTGGCAGGGATCCTCCTCCCCCCGGCTTCTTGCCGGACACGCACCTGCCGCACGCCCCCTTTTTCGGCATTACTACCGTAGACACTCATGGTAATGAATTTTTGTTAGTTAATGAAATCGTAGACAATGAAAAAAATATACTCACAATCAAGGTGCTTTTTCTTTGGTCCAATGATTTCTTCTGTCGTGGCTTTGCAGACGGATTTTGCCAACCCCTGACCGGCAATGCTATGCCTAGCCGCCTGAACGCGGTCCATGATGCTCTGGCCCGACATTGTTGCAATTGCACAGACAAAATCTGTCCAAAAGTATCAACAGGGCCAGGTGATTGACCCTTATTCCCGTGTAATGTTCTTGTGACACCTTGCTAATAAATATTGGGGGTGGTAATCTCTCCTTGTTCCCAAGATGGCGGAAGAGGGCTGTATTTTCATGTATCACGTGATCAGGAGCATTCATTGTTTTTGATTGAAAATGAAGTAATCATATTCACATGAGATGGTTTCGTTTGTAACGGTCATTTGAAATTCATTTCGTTTTCATAGTTATGCACATTATGTGTGAGGAATCTGTGATCATCACTTGTTATTTTGTAGACATATTATGTAACCCACCGTTTTCATTATGTGGAAACCAAGCATGTCATGTAAGGAGTTAATTTGTCACTCTGCTCTCTCACCATTAAAAACAAAAACACCATTACCGTTATAAAATCATTATAAAGGGGTGGGACTTTGCTTGCAACCCTCGAAATGTATAAATCACAATCTTTCACTCACACCAGTGCGGAATTTGCTTGAATAGACCCAGTTTTACATAATATAACATGTATCTATGTGCCGGTGGTTCCATCACCAACTTTAAACTAAAGTTGACTTTAACCTTGACAGCCCTGGAATACAGTCTCTCTCTGTGCACTGATTAAGAATCTCAAAATTTAATGATTCTAAATTTGATTTTGCTATAAATAATCTATGTATGTAGATGTTGAAGGGTTGAAATCACACACACACACACACACACACACACACACACACACCACCCCCACACCTCTCTCTCTCTCTCTCTGTCTCTCTCTCTCTCTCTCTCTCTCGTTAAAGCTGCAGTAAAAGCTTGTCGTAAGAGGCGAGTAACGGGATCGGGTGGTCAGGCTCGCTGACTTGGTTGATGCATGTCATCGATCCCAATTGCGTGGATCGATGCTCATGATATCAATCACTGGATTGCCAAGACTCGATTATTTCCAGACCGCCGTCATATAGCTGGAATATTGCTGGGTGCGGCGTTAAACAACAAACAAACGAACAAACAAACAAAACATGTGGATGCATATGTGACCATGGAAGGACATGTAACGGGCATATGTGTGTTTATAAAGTTTATATATTTTTTAACGAAAGGCGGAGAGACTTTTTGCTGAGAGTGCAAATGGTTCGCGACGTGACCGCATGCATTGACCTACATGTGTACAAGCGGCTACAGGAAGGAAGTGGAGCGATGGCGAGAGATAGGGCTATTTCAGATGAGGTCAAGAATGGTCTGGCGGTAGATCCCGTTAATAAGGCCTTGTTGAGGCGCCCATTCACGTTTTTACACAGTATACGATAATGAAAGGTGTTAGTTTGACGTTGAGGTCCTCGTCTTTGTAAAAAGATAGCAAAGGTGGAATTTTACTCTGTAAAGATCTGAAAACAGTGTAAGTGGACGTGTCATTGTGTTTAAGTCGTTTTTCATCATATCCCGGCACATGTCATCATCAAACCTTGAGCAGTACCAGTTGACGCTTAGTGGACATTGTTTAGACTCGCTGGAGTCCGATGACATAGTGTACCAGGCAAGAGTTGTGTTTCCGCGTGTCCGGACCATTAAGTACTGCGCATGCAGCGTACGTACGATCAATGAGTGAGTGAGTTGGGTTTAACGCTGCTTTTAACAGTATTACAGTCATATCACGGCGTGTCAGCTTAATGTGGGAGGATATTGTCAATACATGTAATTAACAAAAGCTAAATAAGAAGACCCAGTTTTTAAGAGTCTGGACGAGAGAAACCACTTACTGATATTGTGAAGAACGATCAACGCCGTCGAGATACGATGACACTAAGCCTGAACACCAGCCTCATTAAGATGCTTCTTACAAACACAGGTTTTATGCTTGGGTGCCATTTTCTAAAACGGAATTTCAACGGGAGCCACTGTATACCGTGCTAACACAATGATCGCGGTCGCAAATCCCACGTCAGTTAACATGTCTGACATAGAGCGCATGCAATCATTATTACACATTTGATTCGTGTGGATTGGTTGGTTGGTTTGTTGTTTAACGCCGCACTCAGCAATATTACAGCTATATGACGGCGGTCTGTAAATAATCGAGTCTGGACCAGACAATCCAGTGATTAATATCATGAGCATCGATCCACGCAATTGGAATCGATGACATGCATAAACCAAGTCAGCGAGCCTGACCACCCGATCCCGTTAGTCGCCTTTTACGACAAGCATAGTCACCTTTTACGGCAAGCATTGGTTGCTGAAGACCTATTCTACCCCGGAATCTTCACGGGTCGATTCGTGTGGAATGTGTGTCATACTGATTTAACGAGACGAGTGTAAGATTGTCTTCTATTTCCCGAGCGAGAGTGTTGGTAATACATGAATTGTTAGACGAGTGTAATAATTTCTTTATTACCCAATTTTTGTTATTGTCGATTGACGTCAACAATCTTCAGCTATGATGTCGTTTCTAGTGTGATGTCATTACGACCTTACGTCACAATAAGATTCGAATGACGTCAACAATACCGTCAGGATGACAATACAATGGTGTGCGTAAAGTGATGTTTGCGCAATTGCACGGGCGATTTTTATGAACTCGGTTATTTCTAACCCTTATGGGTAATAAATTTGTTTGTCTTATAAACTGTTATCCGACAAAGAAGATATGAATAGAACGGTAGATTTGGGTATAATGATCACATTGTTGCTAACTGATTTTATACATGTTGATTTGATTTGAAACAGAACATAAGAGTATATGAGTATCGAATTTGCAGATAACATACCTCAAACATTAAAATGCAAACTCCGGTTATTTGTTCATTCCTTCCATATCAAGCGAGCTAGATTTAAGAGATTTGTATATACATGTAGTTTTCTTCAACAACACGATCGCTAAATATTGCATCACATTAAAGTTAATCAAAGCAATGCATGTTGTTTGTTGTTTAACGCCGCACTCAGCAATATTCCAGCTATATGACGGCGGTCTGTAAATAATCGAGTCTTGACCAAACAATCCAGGGATTGATATCATGAGCATCGATCCACACAATTGGGATACGATGACATACATCAACCAAGTCAGCGGGCCTGACCACCCGATCCCGTTAGTCGACTCTTACGACAAGCATAGTCGCCCTTTACGGCAAGCATGGGTTGCTGAAGACCTATTCTAACCCGGATCTTCTCGGGTCTAGCTAAATGTATGTCACAGTGACAACAATCTTGACTCGACATCTGGCTAAAACGATCATTTCCATTATAGCTTCCAACCGGATTCAACACTGTTATCAGCTGTGGGTGTAGGAGATTTTGCCACCTATTTAGCAACATTGCAGCTAAATGTCGACTTCCTGCACATAGACCGAAATAGCATCCTGTTTCTTGTTGCTTCCAAACCAGTTTCCCCTTTGTTTTCGGTCCATTGGCAGGTAACTCAAAAACATTGTTGTACCTGTTTTTTTACGGCTGGCAACCCCCTTTTGGTACGCGGGATTCGGGGGCCTATTCAGTGGGTACTGGGAACTCAGCTGTGATGTACGCAGGACCCAAAAAATAAAATCGTTTTGGGGTCGCATTTTCAACATTTAAAAACAAATAATGACTTACGTAAGAAACTGCTTTATATGTTTTATTTTTTATATTATGTTTCAGAAACTTCAAATCGCGCCCAAGGAACGTGTTCCAAAAGTTTTTATCTACGATCGACATTCTGTCTTTGTAGAGTGAATTCGTGCTTTTAGTGAAAAATCAGATGTTAATTTGGATTATTTGTTTGTTTTTATTTTGTTTGTCAAGATGTTCCAGCTACATGATAGCGAACTGTAAATAATCGAGTCTGGGCCAGACAATCCAGTGATTCACATAATGAGGATCGGTCTACGCAATATAGGAACACGATGACATGCATCGACCAAGTCAGCGAGCCTGACCTCCCGATCCCGTCAGTCGCCCCTTACGACAACCATAGTCGCCTTTTACGGCAAGATTTTGTGTCAAGGGAATTTTTGGTTTAAAAGGAACTCGTTACGATCTTTTTGTATGTGTGCGGTACAGAAAACAGATTCACTTTACAAAGTAACCAATATGTATTATATACTACCGGTGACCTCACCCCATTGTTCTATATATACGTTTTATTTTCCCTTCAGCAAATACTTGGACTCAATAAAGTTGAACCACGGAGCGACTTGAACATTCGTAAATACGTAGGAAGTTTTACCTTCAGGGATTGCCGGCTTTGTTTTACTTCATACAAGTAAGAGTGAGTGAGTTGGGTTTAACGCCGCTTTTAACAATATCAAGGCATGTCAGCTTAATGTTGGGGAAAAGTCCGAAGTGATGCAGGTTTCAGACGTTTACCACTTTCGTGAAACCCACGAGCACGGATGGGGTGCTGACAACCCTAGGAACATAATCGGAGCGAACCGGGATTCGAACCCACAATCATAGGTTTCTGGCATGCCCAGGGGACGCAACTCTGCACTACGAATCGCGGCGACAAAGACCACTTAGACCCGTGCCCCCTACAAGTAAGACCTATGTTTTACTTTGAATTATAAATAAGAATATTTTTTAGCTATATCAATGAATTCGTATCTAATGTTAATTTTTGACTGAATAAAAGATTTTCTTCACATGAAGAACGTGCAACCACATATATCATGTTGAACATTGTAACCCAGTGTTTTGCCACGGAGTCACCGGCGCGTTGCACACCTTTTGGTGCACGTGCAATACATATTTTTAAGTGGTAGACGAGTCCATTTTAAACAGGGGGGTATAGGTATCAGATAAATACGACATATTTGATTAATGCGCGTATACATCTAAAAAGATGTCTGTTTAAAAGTCGGTTCATGACTTTGAATACGGTCTTGATGGGAGTATAAAGATCTCGTGGTCGAAAATTAACAACTCAGGCGTTTCGGCCCCCGGTCATACTTTTTACCCCCCCCCCCCCCCCCCCCCCTCTCAGGTTTTCTACCACTCCCGCCTAGACCTTATTCTAGGTCGTGAACCTTTACGTAATGTCCTTGAACATTCGAACCAGTGAACGCGTTGGGTTTGCCTGACCTCACTGATTATCATTGTCAAATCTGCAGGATCGCGTTATCTTATATATCCACACGTCCCAACTACAGACA